GTAGCATAGCAGCTGCTTTTGTTACACTGTCTTCTTGCAGCATGGTAGGCAAAGACTGTCATGACCACATTCTCAGTGCTGAGTGTGGTGTGTCTCAAACACAGCCGGCCCTCCAGGACTGTTTACAGAATGAATGAATGAATGAATGAATGAATGAGTGGCATGTCAGGTGGCAGCAACTTCCAAACAAGTTCTCAGCATGCTTATCAAGCCTGGCCACTCTGCAACAGTGACATTAGCTGTCACCTACATCCAAACTTGCAGAAATTTCTGAATCTGCCTTTGCACAATAGGCACTGGGGCTCTTCATGTCCCTCTGGGGGCTGTGCCAGGGCAGCTGCTTTCCCACCCTGCTCCCTCCCCAGTTAAGTCTCTGCTTTTTTTCCAAAACCTTTCCACCTGGCTCTGAGCCAGGGAGGCCTCTAAGTCACACTCAGAATTTCCATGACAGTAAATAGACTAAATGAAGCCCTTTCCAGCCCCTGAAAGAGGTCTCTTCCAATTCCGCTGTGTCTGGCAGCATTTTTGTCCCCGCCTCGCACCCCCACCCCCCATTTTGATACAGGCCTGTGGAAGGTCAATGACTCCTTTAAAAATAAGGAAAACATGGACAAGTGCCCAGTTCCTAACCTGCTGACAGTGCAGTTCTCTGCAGCCAGCCCACAGCTCTCTGCTGAGGCCTTCACAGGGATTTTTCACAAAGGTCTGCAATCTATTATGCTACAGTTGACTGCCGCATTCAAATGTAAAAACAGATCCTTGGATCAACACCCTATAAAAAGCCAAGAAAAATGTGGTAGTGTTCTTTCCTGGCTGGAGCTGAGAACTTTCTGAGGGAGGACTCCTTTGCAAGCCTGCAGCAGCCCTGTGTACCTGTGTGGTTTTCCTTGTAACTCGATCAATTCAGAAGCCCAGCAAGTTTTCGGAGGTTTCAGGTATTAGCCCCCTCATCGTGTAGATGAGGAGTTAAACACATTGAAGGACTAATCACCAAATTCTTTTCACAGAATCAGAGCTCTGGGAAAGCCACTTCTAGGTTTTGCATTTTTACTGAGCTCCCTCCCTGCTTCCAGCTTGGACTAAACCATTCTGGAAGATGGCACTTTGAACCTCTGCTTAAAACGTGTCCCCCAGCTAAAATATAGCTACTTTCTTAAAATGAAACAACATGCCTGCAGCCCAGAGATCCTGGCTGAGCCCAGACAAAAACAAAGTTTCCTGTCTCCTCGGACACTGCTTGTCACGGGTGCGTAAAAGCCACACAGCAGAAATTGTTAGTTAAGAAAGATCAATTGGACTGTTTGAAGGTTGGGCAAAAAGATATCCTTTTTCTCCTTCCTGTCAGCTTGCCACTATTCTCCAATTGCGCCTCCCCCTGCCCCCACCAAGAATGCCATTAGGCAGTGAGCAGTGCAAAGTGTCGGGAATGGTTGGATGACCCGTTTTAATTTGTTTTGCCGGCCCGTACTGCCCTGCCCGTGTGCCACACTGGCACTAGCCCCCACGAACTCATCCCCTCCCCCCGGAGGACTGCCAAATTGCTGTTCATACTCCGTCTGCTTCATTTGTTCACCTATTGGCAATTACCTTGCTGAGATCATTGTTTTTCTCTTCTGTATTTTTAGCTCATTATGAAACTTGCAGCGGGATGAGTATCTCAGATCCAGGGCTTGCTTTTCAAAGTTTTTAGCGAGCCTTGTTTTGGCTGAGTGTGTGAAAGTAACTTTCACCGTGCAACAAGATCTCTTTATGCTGGCTTCAGCCAAATGTATCTTGGAAGCCAAATGTATGCCGAGACATTTCTTTTGTTTGTTTGTGAGCTCATATGTTGCCAGGTATACATTTATCTGGATAAACATACTTACATATAGCACACACATGGAAGTATACACACACACATGCTTCTCCCCAGTTTATTTATTTATTTATTTTGCAAACAGCTTTATTGAGATATAATTGATAAAGAACTGTATGTGTTTAATGTATACAATTTGATGAGTTTGGACATATGCAAACAGCCACGATACCCCCACTACAATCAAGGTAATAGACATATCCAACACCTCCCAAAGTTTATTTGTGCCTCCTTCCCCTCTTTTTGGGTGGTAAGATCACTTAACATGAATAAGATCTATCCTCCTACCAAATTTTTAAGGGTACAACATTGTATTGTTAATTATAGGCATTATTTTGTACAGTGGAAAAAATATTCTATTGTATGTATGTATATGCCACATTTTCTTTATCCATTCATCTCTCAATGGATATTTGGGTTGTTTCCATATCTTGTCTATTATAAATCACCCCTACTTTAATTTCAATTAAATTAATAAAATTAATTAATTTCAATAAAATCAATTAATTTCAATAAAATCAACATTAAGTATTGAATCCTATTCTTGGGTCTAATATTTTGGTTCATTCACTAGCTCATCTGTGGTCTGTGGCCAGTGTCTACATCATATCACATCCCCTGTGTCTAGCACAGCACCTGGCACATGGTAGACACTCGCTGCTTGCTGAATGAGCGAAGTGACAAATGCATAAATTGTTTCCGGATCAATTTTCAGGCTGGGAGAAAACCTAAGAAGGGAAGAAGTGCCATGGAGAGGCTGCTCTCTGTTCCATCTTCCCACATTGACTTTGGGGAATTGAGGGGAGGGGAGCCGCTGCTATATGCAGGCATGTGCCTGTATAGAGCTGTGTCCTTCCTGTCATTTAGGTTTCAATTTAACTATCACCTTCTGAGATGACCTTTACTGGCTACCTCCTCTCAGGAAGCCTTGCCATCACTCATTTCCATCCCTTTTTCCCACATCACCCTTCTTAATTGTCTTGATAGCGAGTTGGAAATGATTTTATCTGCTTGCTTATTTATTGTCTATACTCCTCCCACCCCACCCCACCCCACCCCACCCCAAAGGACCACGTCTGTCTTTTTATTGTGGTATTCCCAGTGCTCAGAACAGTTCCAGCACAGAGTCATTATTCAGCAAAGATTTATTAAATGGCTAAGTAAATGAATCTTCCTTTGCCTCGGCACAGAAGCCTGGAGGGACGGATCAATAGGAAATAGGTCAAAAACGAATAGCACGGCGTCTCCCGAATCCCTTCTTTCTCTCCACCTGTCTCCCCGGCTGGACCCTGGAGAGCCTCACGCCACCTGCCCTTGGATGCCTGGCTTTCCTGTCTAATTAAGCACTGGATGCCGAGCTCCAGGCCCGGACTTTCTGGCTTCCAGAACTCATTCCTGACGACGACGTGGGCTGGGAATCGTTGCCTTGCCATGCTGACCCCGCAGCTCCTGTTGGCACAGCTGTGGAGTGGACGGCTCCCCGTCCTGCCCTGCTCACTGCCTTCACGCTGTCAGCCCTTTCCCACTCGGCAGGGCTGGCACACCCGGAAACAGAGCCCCGACACGCCCGCATGGGTCGCAGCCTCTGGGCCCAATACTTTGCCTCAGATGCTGCTCCCTGGCTCACTCCTCATCCTCCTACCATCTGTCACCTTGTCCTGTTTCCCCATTTAGGCTCCTACAAAGGCCTCCAGCTTTGATTTTTGATGTCTTTCCTGGACCACTATTGGTCCCCTCCCTCTAGCCACAATAAGTCAACTGGCCTACATTAAATTGTTGGGCCTTCCAGCCCAGACAGTTAACTTACTCCTCTAGTGGTCTTCAACTGTGTTGAAGTGTTGCCCTAACCAGTGTTGGGGCAGTGTTGCCCCAACCTCTCCTCCCCCCCTGCTTCTTCCAGGCTGTCTTCAGTCCCTTGGTCACTACAGTGCTTGTCCCTCCCTCACCTCCACATTGGCTCTGTTGTGCCCAATGGTACCATCACATTTTGGGGCATAAGATTGCATGCTTTACTCTATTTCTTATGAAGTGATAATATATATAATAAGTGATACTATATATGATAATATACATAATTCACTGTGTATTTTCTATGTGTCCAACATGGTGAAAAACACTTTGTGTGATCTTGTCCAATTATCTTAAAAGCTCTTGGAGTTATGTGTCAGTAAACTGATCTTAGGGATGAGGAAACTAAAGCTCAGTGACATTGAACAGTTTTCCCCAAGGTTCTACAACTAGAAATTGGCAGAGTTAGGATTTGAACGCAGGCCTTTCTGATCCCAGAGGTAGTGTAATCACTATTCCATACTGTCTTTTCTACACTATGCCTTTATCCCTACACCTTCCTGGCAGCCCCTCTTCTTGCTCTGTAATCAGAAAGCTCTGAATGCAAATGTCTACTCTGCAACTCTGGCTACATAATCTTGGGTGAATCATTTCCTTCCTAGTCCAAGATGTGGCATGGGAAATTTAAGAATGAGCTTGGCCTTTCTTCCCATCTGAATCTTAGCTCCACCTAGACATTGTCTTTCCGGTAAGGTTAATAATGATAACTACCACTACTATTATAAACTACTACTGTTGATTATTACTGCAACTCCTACCCTTTCTCCTCTAACTACTATAATATACTGAGCCTTTGCTGAGTGTCAGTCACTGTGCTTGGCAACTTTACATGCATTCTTCCATTTAGCTTCTATAACCTTGTAAGGTAGATTTTGATAACAGAGTCATGGAGAAGCTAAACCAATTGTTGAAGATCATGAGGGAAAGAGTGGCCTAGTTAGGATTTGAATGCACATCTGCCTAACTCCAAAGCCTGCTCTTCTCCCCCTGACGTGTTTTAATTTTTTGAGTGGGCTGATAGAATTGCTTCCACCCCACTCTTCTCTGTAATTGACTTCCCACGAGCACACTATCAGTACAGTAGCGAAGGCAACCTGCAATGTATTTAAGGCAAATTTAAATGATAATGTTTCTAAAAAACTTAAAGACCTATACTGGTCTAGCTTTGAGTGGTAAGGTTCCTGCATAGGCAAGACTTGCTTTATGATGTCACAATGTACAAGGGCAGACACTCTAAGGGGTCAGAGAAGGAGATTGTATTTCCCCATTTCCATGGCATAGTTTTCTGTGTAATCACTCACCCTGAGCCCCTTATTCAATTGATAAAGGTGATGCAGCCATCCTCACTTCTGATTACTGTACAAGAGCTTTATACTGTGGGATGAGGATGTGAAATGCTTGCTATTCCAGGTGAACCACACCAGCTGCTGAAAATCTCTGTTGGGCTATCCAGTGTACAGGGAAATAATGACCACAGCATCTCTGAAATGTTGAGAACCACCTAAAATTATATTGCTGTGGGCAAGAGAGGTATCTGTGGCATTATGTGTGTGCCACTTTTGATTTTTTCACCATACCTTTCAGAAAGGACTAGAAGGTGCTGCTGTGCAGGGCAGAGGGTAAGCTTAGGTGCTCATACATCCTTCTGGAATCCTCTGCCTCCCCTGAAAGGGGATGAGTTTTCTTTAATGTTTTCCATGAAGAAAACAATAACAAGGAGGAGTATTGTTTGTTTGTTTGTTTTGCTCATGGCCCAATTCTCATTGGTTTTGCATTATTTTCCATTTATGAATAAAGAGCTTAATGCCTCTCGTTGAAAATGAGATTTGGGGAAATGTTGTGATTCTTTTTTTTTTTTTTTTCAACTATTTGCTATCTCAGCTTGGCAATGCAATTCTTAATATTATAAGGAGGCTGTCTGGCTGACGAAGGGCATTCTTGTTCATTAGAATTGCCTAGGAGGCATCTTCCACTTACAATGCACCTTGCCCTTTCTTTTTTGGGGGCCATTTGTTCAGCAGAAAAAAGACATGTATGAATATTTGGGGATAGCCATTATATGTGTTCAGATGGAGAAAAAAAAATTGCAATATATTGTTCTAACTTTTGCATTCCTATGGGTAACACTGGCTAAGGGCTGAAAGACAGTTGTTATTAAATAAATATTTATTAAGTAACAGATATCTAACATGGAGCTCAAGAAATGTCCTTTTAGAAAGTCTATAGCATCTCATTGCATTCTTCAGTAAGTTCCAATGGACTGGGTCTTGGTACTGTGGTTTGCAGGTGGACATAAAAGCCAGCAGATGCTACTCAAAACAGACTTGATGAGCTTCTGAGCCAAGCAGACCTTCTATGGGGCTTGGGTGGCAAGTACAATCTAATGTTGGCGAGGAAGCTCAGTCTGGTGTCTGGAAGTCTCCCAACACAGTGCGTTGTCATGGCCTTTGATATTCTCAAGATGGATAGGGGTAGGGGTAAGCTTATTTGGGGAACTTTTGGACAGTAGCATGAACAAGAGGAAGCATAAGCAAGAGAGGAAGAGCACTTTGGACATTGAGACTGACAGGCTGGTTTGTAGATACAAAAAATCCTATTTGAGATTCTTGGAAATAAGGTGGGTAAATGGAGTGGAATGCTACTGTCATACAGGTGGAAGTGATCAAAGCAGAAGATACTCTGGTTACATAAACATATGTCATGCCAAGTGACACTCAGTGGCTAGTGGAGGGTGTTTCAATCACTACATGTTTGAGATATGCAGTGATGAGGGTTGGGATGTCTCAAACCATCCCACCCCTTACACCGTTAGGATCCAGGATTGCTGCTGACCTTACACCACACTCTGAAGTCTGAGAAATTGATCGCAGCACCCAAGCTTCTCCTGCCATGTTGCTGCTAGATGATTTCTTTTAGCAACTTTTATTGAAAGGCTCTCCTTGATCTCTGCTCTTAGATATTTTCAAGAATCATCCAACCTTCTCTAGCAATATCTTCTATGCTTGGATACTCCGCTCTTCCTTCCCTTTTCCATAGATTAGCCTTCCCAGCCTAGCCAGAATTTCACCCTAGTGTTAGGCCTATTTCAACCTGTTGAGACAAGGAAGAAGGGGAGGGAGAAACAGCTGACAGGAGGCTTTGCCACCAGCTCACATTCTGACAGAAGGGCAAGTTGCAACGCTTCCAGGCTTTCTTCTGTTTTCTAACCTGTATCCTGAGGATCAGAATGCTGAGTTACTGCCCAGAGGAAGTGCCATTAAAAAGCCAGTAAAACCACTGTGGAGGGCTGTGCCCAGCCCTAGCAATCCTCGGAGTATTTCCGTCATGCAGATCATGAACATCTGTGGGCAGGGCTGAAGAGCCAGTGGGAAACAGGAGAGGGACTCCCCTGGGGACAGGAGCAGGCAGCAGCTTTGGAACTGAGGCAGCTCTGGGAAGGTTACTGGGATGTCGTGATAGGCAAGACAAAGGTTGAAAATCAAGCATTCATTCCAAAACATCTGCATCATGTACCAGGAGCAGGCTAGTGAAAGAAGAAGAGTATGGGCTTCAGATTCAGCAACAGCAGGATTTTAGTCATGGTTCCAACACTAGCGCGTGGCAAGTAACCCTCTCTGAGCTTCGGTTTCCTTGTTGGTAAAATGAGGCTACACCAAAATTCATCTCAAAAGGTTGCTGTGAGGATCAACAGTGATAAGTGACCGAGAAAAATTGACACATAGTTGTGAATCAATTACTTTTTTCTCTTTGCCTTGTTTGTTTTCCCCTTTGGGGTTTATTCTGAAATTCTTAAAAAAAATCAAAATAAAAAAATAAAATAAGGAAATCAAATCTTGGCAATATGCAAAACACTGCATTTGAGTGAGTGGAGAAGTGAGGAGAATAAACAGTTTCTGACCTTAAAAAATTTATATTCTTTTGCTCAGCGATACCAATAAAGAACCCAGGAGGATGCTGTGATGCTCGAAACATCACCACCCACACAGTGAAGTCTGGTCTTCCTTTGAAGCAAAGGAAATTAGAGATTAGAAACACAGGATGATGAGTTGGAAGAGACCAGGTAGTTTTACAGATGGAAGAAAATTGAGCCCTAGGCAGCCGGAGAAACCTATGCAGAGTCCCCTAGATGGAAGTGTTTTGTTTCAGAGCCAGGACTTGAACCCAGGTAGCCTGACCCTCAATTTGCCCCAAGACTTATATTTGGCATGAAGGCTGCATGTCTTACTGCATGGGTACAGTAACAGGCATTTATTTGGCTCTTGATCTCTTGTAGTTTTAACACAAAATTTCAATTTGGAAAAGTAATAGCCAGGTTGGAGAATAAGGACATTTAAATTCCTAGAAGTTTCTATGAGTCCAATCCCGAAATGAAATGCGTCAATCTTTCCTCTGTGGTCTAGGTTAGTGGGGCTCGATCAGCTACCTGACCATGCCCAGTTTGAGGGTCTATACAGGGAGGAAGGAGAAGGCCTGTGTGCCCTTCCAGACCCCATCTCCACCCTGCTCTGTTCTGCCTTAGGAGGCTGACCCGTGTAGACTTCATCACTGTGCTCTCTTTGTCCTCTGTTTTCCTGTTTGGTTTGGTCACTTGTATGTTTTGGCAAGTGATCAGAGTGGGGGAGAAAAGTAAGGATGGGGTATTATTCTTCTGGCTTCCTCCCCGTCGGGTCACTGAAGACTGGTCTCACCTTCTGAGGGCTCCTGTTGGGGGACTCTCACTGTCTAGCTTCTTTGGTTCTGGTAACAGCTCCCTCCCCTGGTGCCTTCCGGGTGTGGGGTAGTAAAGGCTCTCTACCAAGGCAAGCCCAGGGATGCTACACCATCCCTTGTTGTTTCCTTATACTCTATTCACAGTTTTATGAGTAGTTTCTTTATTCAAGTATCCTCCCAATTTGAGTGTGTCAATTTTTTCCTCCCAGTCACCACTCTGACTGATATAGATAGAGCTTCTTCAATTTCATGGAAAAGAGCCACATTATTTTAAAATTGAGCTCAAGAGGGATAGTTAAAGGGATTGAAGAGTTTATCTTTGAAAAGAGAAAGCAAATACACTGAAAGGTAAATTTAAGAACTATCTTTAAGTTTTTAACAGAGGAAAAAAACATCTCCCCCGAGAGATTATTTCCCGATCAGTCCTTAAATATTTTTCTGAATTTCGTGGGCATTCAAAGGTCATGACATGAATTAATTTCTAAAGGAACCTCCAGATTGAGAGGGAAGAGGAAACAGGCACAGGAACAACGATGAAGTTGTAAGGACTGCAGTTCTTAGAGCTGGCCTTTAAGCATTGGTAAGATTCATTTTTTAAAACTCAATTTATTTAATTGACATATAATTATTGTATGTATTTATGAGGTACATGGTGATGTTTCTGTACATATAATGTATGATGATCAGATCACCATAATTAGCCTATCCATCATCTCAAACATTTTTCATTTATTTGTGTTAGAAACATTTAATATCCTCCTTCTAGCTATTTGAAACTATTAATATGTATTATTCACTATTGATTGCTTCTAAAAAAAATGTATTATTGTTAACTATGGTTATCCTATAGTTCTACAGAATGCTAGAACTTATTCCTTCTATCTAGTGTAATTTTCTACCCTTTAACAAATCTCTCCCTCTCCCTCACTTCCCCCTACTCTTCCTAGTCTCTACTATCTGTTCTACCTTTTATTTCTATGAGATCAAGTTTTTTTTTTTTTTTTTAATTTAGCTTCCATAAATGATTGAGCACATGTGGTGTTTAACTTTTGGTGCCTGGCTTATTTCACTTAACAGTGTCCTCTCGTTCCATCTATGTTTCTGCAAATGACAGAATTTCATTCATTTCTATTGCTGAATAGTATTCCGCTATACATATGTACCACATTTTCTTTATCCATTCATGTGTTGTTGGACACTTAAGCTGACTCCATATCTTGGCTATTGTGAATAGTGCTGCAATAAACACAGGGGTACAGATGTCTCTTTGGTATAATGGTTTCCTTTCCTTTGGATAAATGCCCAATGGTGAGATTGCAGGATCATATGGTAGTTCTATTTGTGGTTTTTTGAGGAACCTCTATATTGTTATCTATAGTGTCTGTACTAGTTTACATTCCCACCAACAGTGTATAAGAGTTCTTGAGGATTTGCAGGATTCTGATGAAAGTGACAGGACAAGGGTGGGGCAAAGAATTGAGAAGATAAGGGGAGGAGCTTTTCAGGCAAAGGGGATTGCAGGTCATGTGAGTAATTTACCTTGTCCACAGCACAGACCACACTATGAAGAACACTTGTTAGGAAGTCAGTTCAGCTCACAATGACTCTTAACTGTGTCTGCTCTATAGCTCAGCAGAGTGGCTCACAGCAGAGTGACTCCTGGTAGCTCCTTGTAGGGCCAAGATAGGCCCCTCTATCTGGACACAGATGATTGAAGCCATGCTGGGCCATTCAGAGCTCCTTCTTTGGGAAGATGAAACTTGGTCTAAGAGGTATTTAGACTTGTAGGGTGATTAATCCTTGAAAGTATGAACCTAAAAGCTGTGGGAATTTCTGTTTTTTACCATGAAGACTGGAGGTTTGCAAAAATATAGAAGAATGAAGCATATGCACAGAAAAAAGAAGAGATGAGGAATGGATAGAGTCTAGTAAGTTCTCAGTCCTGGATCTAGAATCTTCCATAAGCTCAACTGATTCCTGTCCTTGGGTCCAAGGACACTTTCTGTGTGCTTAGAATAATGTCCCTTTCTCATTTAAATTAATTTGTGTTTCTTGTGTTACTTTTAAACAAAAAAAATGTTAATTAAAACATTGTGAAAGGGAGCAGTAAGACAAGTTTGGAAAGTATGTTTGGGTCAGATATGAAAAATGAATAAATGAATCACACCTGGAAGTAAAAATACTGAGTTGAAATAGCACCGATTTATTTTTGGAAATGCCTGTTTATCACAAAGGCTTTTAGCCCTTGAACTGGGTCATTAACAAATGTCTGGAAAGTCTTTAACGTTGGATTCTAAGAACAGGACAGGCCTAACTCAGTGATGATATAAAAACAGTCAGGACTGGAGCAGAGTTGCAGGAGGGAAGAAGGAGAGGGGGTTGAAATCTAAGACTTCTTGAGGACACATTCTGGATTTATAATATGATGTTGGAAAAACAACAGAGATTCTGAAGTCAGACGGCATGGGTTTGGTTGTTTGTTTTAGTTTCCCCAAATTTAAAATGGGATCTAAATACAGTTCTTGTGTCTATTCAATAGCATAACACATCGAAAGCAATTATCACAAGATTGAACATGTTACTAGACATTCAAAAAATATTAGCACTTGTCCTTGTTTTTGTTTTATAATGTTTGAAAGTCACAATAAAGCAATTGATTCTTTAAAAATCTCACTCTTGTGAACCCCAAGTCCATGTGCTTCTCTTTTCTTCCTTCTTTTGGTTATTCGTTGACACCTAATGAGTATTTGTTTCCTTTAAAAGTTAAATGCATCACAGTCATGCAATATACAAAAGTAAACCTTTGGAAAATACAGTACCATCCTGTCCTTAGATTGTGAAACCCTATTTCACTTCATAATAACATTTTAGGTATAAATGAGACCTATCATTTGATCATGTGGCTTTTTACTGTCATGTCAAATGCTCTTAATGATTCAGCATTCTCCCAGGACTGGGCTTCCCTGTGTTTTGATACTTAGAGGAAAAGGTGGTTTCCCACATATATGAGATTCCTCAACATAAGGAATCTCTTCCTTTCTTCTTGTTCTTCTGAAACACAAGAAACAATTTCATCATACTGAACTTTAATCTGAAGAGTCCTAGAATGGGTGAGAATTCACAGTGGAATTGTAACTGGAAACAGAATCTAGTGGTGTGGATGGTCATAGCCCCAGAAGGTTACAGAATGCTAAAAAAAAAAAAAAAAAAATAGGGGGAGCAATTCTGGCCAAAGGAGGAAAACACTTTAGAAATGAGTGACCAAGAAGAGTTTACAACAAGCCCTGTGTGAATTAGTAGTAGAACTGAGATGAATTGTAGCATTTCTAAATTTTATCTCAGGCTATTAGAATTTAGAGCTGAGAAAATGGGACACAGACAGGTAAAGTCATTTGCCCAAGGTTGCCTAGCTATTTAATGTTGAACCCCATGCTGGAACCCCAGTCTTCTCTAGCCAAGGTCAGATAACCGTCTTCTCTACCTAAGTATGTTTGGAAGTTTGGAGATACTGTAAAGAAAAAGGCTGAGTCTAGGCAGAATGAGGCAGAGCCATCTTTCCTCCTCTTCCGATCAGTCTAGGCAGTTTTCCTGGCGTGAGTTTTAAGATTACAACTGTTTCAGTGTCTTATCTTGTGGCTATTCCTGGGCAATACTTTTGGTAGCATTTTTCAGGAAAGTCACTTCCGACAGTTCTGTTCCTGGTCAGGATGCCTGGAAACTATACTCCAAATTCCCAACGCAGCCAAGAGACCTGCATGTGGCCATCTTTAAAGAGTTTTATCCACTGAGCACAAACAGAGCCATATGCCTCAGCAACTCCTGCCTGTAAACATATGGGCACATCTGCAGGGCCAACGGTTTACCCTGAGGCTGTAACAAGTTCCCTACACCCTCACTTCCCCACTCTGACTTATCCAAGGCTATCTAATTAGCTCCTCTCTGTCCTACCCAAGTCTTTATTCTCTCCACAGTACCAGAGAGCAGAGAAAAAAGTGTTTGCATATGTTCTAGTAGGAAAGATATGCTGTGGTATGATATCTAATTTCACAGCACTGAGACTCCATCCTGGGCCAGCACATCACAGGCTATATATTAGAAGGTTAAAAATTTGGATAAGATATGACTTCTTCTCTCAAGAGCATTACAATAGCATAGGCAGAAGGAGAAATGACACATGAGAAGGTAAAATGCTATGGGGGTGGAGTGGGGTGACAAAGATGTAGAAATCACATCAGGTTGGGAGGACTTCGAATGACTGTATAGAATGTAGCACTGAGATGGCCTTTGAAAAATGGATAGGATTTTGTAGTCTCAATGGCCAGAGCAGTGGAGAAAGGGTGTTCCAGACAGGAGAAGAAAGAACAGGGATCAGCAGCAGTGAGCTTTGGGCCATGGTCAAGAACCACTGAATAGTTTAGCTGGATCAAAATATTCGGTAACCATGGGAATAGAATGGGAGATAAGAAAAGCTGCTTAGAATCATATTGAAGGAGTTGGCCCTTGAAGATTTTTTTTTTTTTTTGAAATGAAAAATAAGAAACTTTCAAAGTATTATGGAGTACAAATGTTTCTGGTTACATGGATTGTTTTTGTAATGCTTGAGTCAGAGTTAAAATCGTGTTTGTCACACAGTGTTCATTGTGCCCCTTAGATAGGTTTTTGCCCATCCCCTCCCCACTGCTGCTTTATTTCCATTGAATTTTACTTCACTCAGTACACATGGGTGCTCACCAGTTAGTTCCAATTTAATAGTGAATTCATGTGGTATTTGTTTTTCTATTCTTTAGATACTTCACTTAAGATAATGGTCTCCAGTTCCATCCAAATTGTTGCAAAATTACTTAATTCATCCTTCTTTGTGGCTGAGTAGTAGCCCCTAGTATACATATTCCACATTTTGTTCATCCACTGATGAATTGATGGGCATTTGGGTTGATCCCATATCTTTGCTGCCATCAACATTCGAGTACAGGTGTCTTTTTGATAAAATGACTTCTTTTTCTTTGGGTACATACCCAGTAGTGGGATTGCTGGATCAAATGGTAGGTCCACTTTTAGTTCTTTGAGGAATCTCCATACTGTTTTCCATAGAGATTATACTAATTGTAAGTCCCATCAACAGTGTATAAGCATCCCTTTCTCTCTGCATTGACACCAGAATATATTGTTTTTGGACTTTTTAATAAAAGCCATTCTGACTGGGGTAAGGTAATGTCTCATTGTGGTTTTAATTTGCATTTCCCTGATGATTAGTGACATTGAACATTTTTTCATAAGTTTATTGGTCATTTGTCTATCTTCCTTTGAGAAGCTTCTCTTCATGTCTTTTGTCCACTTTTTAATGGAGTTGTTTGATTTTTTTTCTTACTGATTTGCTTGAGTTCTTTGTAGAGTCTGGTTATGAGTACTTTATCAGATATATAGATTGTGAATATTTTCTCCCATTCTGTAGGTTGTCTATTTGCTGTTGATTATTTCCTTGGCTATACAGAGCTTTTGAATTCAATCAAGTCCCATTTATTAATAGTATATATATATATATATATATATATATAATTTTTTTTTTTTGAGACAGAGTCT